TTGGGCTGCGAGGGAGCAGAGAGAATGTGTGTGCTGGTCGTCCCACGTGTCGCTGCGCGTCCCCACTGCTCGGTGGATGCGCCCCCACGCTTCGGCTTCACCTCACGGGGTTTGTTTTTAGTTTATTTGTGTTTGTGTGTTGGTTTGAGCTGCACCCATTCAGCGGGAAGCTGAGGTGTGGCGTGCGCCGCGTACTGCGTGTGCCCCGCACCGTGTGGGCTGCTGCTGCCCTCTCTCTCCCTATTGCTGAATGTGGCTGCGTGGGGTCGTGTGTCTGTGTGCCTATATTTTTGCTTCTTCTCCCCTTGCATTCTCCTTTTGGCTGGTGGTTGGTGTGCAGCTGCAGCGCAAGACAACAACACCCACCACAAAGGGAAAGACACTCAAGAAACAATGACTGAAAGAGGCGGAGAAGAAACTCACGCTGCCGCGGAGAGCCCCGCCACGAATGCGCAGCGGCGGCACGCGAGGTCGGGGTCCGACAGCGGCGGTTCCGATCAACCCCCTGCACAGCGCCGAAGGGTGGTCGAAGCACCTGCGGGGCCACAGTGGGCTCTTTACAGTACCGTGGAGGAAGTGCTACGGCTTGAGGGAGTAGATGCTACTGGACAAATGACGCTAAACGACTTCATCATTAAGTACCTTGGTCCCCAAGTTCGTGCTCGACGAAGGCCACGGTGTAATGATGGGGGTGGTTATTCAGAGGCCTGAGAGGTACGTCACGGACCCGGAGCTTCGCGGGACTATTCTCCGCTTACCAGCGTATCAGAAGTACGCGCTTCTGTTTGACACGTACAATCTTATGGAGCACAGGGTGGGCAATCTCCAGGACTGGAGGGACTTTCATCAGAAGGGCATCGTTGCTGCTATTACGAGGAGGAAACTCAACGCCGCCCTTGAGGTGGCGGAGGTACTCGAAAGGGCGTGGCGGGTGAAGGAAATTGCCAGACGGCCGTTGCCGGAGGGCTTCTACGACTCTGTGCTCAAGGCGAGGTGGAGCCACGTCTTGGGGTTTCCCGAGGGCGAAGGGGGCGACGAAGCGGAGATGCGGATGGAGGTGAAGGCGGGGCAAGCGCCAGCACAGTCGTGGGAGTACAAGATGCAGGGCACAACTCTTCGGCCGGTGAACGATGCGGGGCAATTCACCGCACCGCGCCCCAGG